GGGTCACAAGGAGGGGAGCACGAACGTCTGCAAGGCCACAGGGCTACGGAATTAAAATATTCCTCACCAGCAGGAAGTTCAAACATTTTGCAAACTGAACACATAGGATAGAACCAGTATCACTGTGATGTTACATTTGCTAATAACCATGCAAGTTATTCACCTCTTAAAGATGTGAGACATATCTGATGACACCCATCTGATTTGAGAAAGTGGTAGGAATCTTGAAGAAGTCATTCTGCAGTTTCATTAGAATAAAGAACTTAGAGAAGTCACCTTTACTGAAAACCTGATCAGACTTTGGGGAAGCCCCTCAAGGCACATGGAAAACAATCTATACCAGGGTTGCTGCTGTCCATGGAGCAGAAGACAGTGAAGAGACTTTTCAAATCCAACCAAGCTTAGAGCCTAGCAATGGGAATCCTAGGGGGAAAATAAATACATTAAAAGCTGTAAAACCACGCAGAATTGCAGCTTTAAAACCCACTGATTGATATAATAACTGTCCTCATATGATTTTTTGGGGGATTTTTTGCTGTTAACAGTGTAGCAATAAAGTAACAGAATCGCTGTAATTATGCTACTTATATAAATCTACCATAGAATACAGGAGAAGATGAAACCACTATGATGAAATGGAAACTTAATTCATTCTACAACCACCCCCCCACACCCCCACACCCCCCCCCAAGAAAACAAAACCTTAAAGAATGCTCTAGCAGAAATCTCATGCCATGGTCTTGCTTTATTGTTTGTTTTTAAACTGTTACATGGAAAATGATGATAGAATTCTATAGCAGGAACATACTTTTGGGGTGGTCAAAAATATTTTGGGCTACTTGGTACCTTCCTATTAAGGCAAGCCAGCCAAATCTCCAGCCCATGAAAGAATTTGTCATGAAGTGAGTTCATGAAATCTCCCAGAGAGACCACCATGGTTAAGAGCATGTTCCATTCTCTCCTTTCCCTAAGAAACGCAAACACTTGCAAAACCTTTCCGGTCTTTAGTTTTGGATGAAATGGTTGCAGGGACTGGGAGGTGGTGCAACATAATATTCCATTCTTTTCCTCCTGCTAGCTGAAGCCACAGCCTAAGACATTCCCATCAGCACTGCCATCTGTTTACAGGAGCTGTATCTAGCCTGAAGCCCATACTAAGGGGAGAGAGGAGCATGATTGACACAGAAGATTTGATTTGCATCAGTTTAAAAGATTTGGCTTATTATCTTATGGTGCAGAACACAGTACTAGACCCAAGTTACCTTCAGTCTAAAAACCCCTCCCTGATTTCCCACGATCTCTTGGAGCCACAGATGCTGGCAGCAAGAGGTAACACAGCCACCTCAGCTGTTTTCCACTGCATCTACTCCTTTAAAACTGACTTTCTATGGTTTCAAAGAGGGGTTTGAACCAGAATGGTGCCTTTGTGCTACGTTTTCAGAAACAAGAAGAGTAAAAAACATAAGAGGGACTTTGAAGGGAAAGGGGAAGTTATCCTATAGTTTTTACACTTATTTTGTAGCAGCAGTTTAAGGGTTCCTCTGGCAAAATTTTCAGTGGTGCTGCCTTTGCAATTCAGCATTTGCTCTGATGAGCTACACTGCTTCTCTCCAAACATTTCTGAATCACAGAGGGTTTGTTTTATGGGTTGGTTTGTTTGTTTGTTTTAACCCAAAAGAAAACACTATAGATGAGTTTTTTCCATCTGAGAGACTGCGGTAAGCAACTTACCCATACAGACAGCTATTCACAACAGGAGCCATTCAATTCTTTGCTCAGCAATTTTAATATTCCCCTTTGAATACAGCTGAACCACATGAAATTCTGTTGTGTAAGGCTCTCCTTCAAAGTAGAGATTTATTTTCTTTGGTAACAGCTCATCAAGTCTTGAGGCTACAACCATCTGTGTTAATCTCTGCACAGTCTGTTCTTATTTATCATCAATAATAAGACCAAGGAGCACCCATGCTGAAGACAATATGAACAGACAACTATAATAAAGAAATAAAAGCTGCCTTGCTGAAATTTTTAGCTTCTGTGTCTATCCTACATCATAATTCTTTGACCATAACTGGAGACACCAAATGAGGGAAAACAATTAACTTCACCCAAAAGGAACATAATGTTTGAAAGAAAGTTCAACTATGTTTTCTGAGTGGCCATTATGGGAGTGATTTGCAGATCTCAGGCTTTGGCAGGGAGTCAGCCGACAGCAGAATGGAGAAGAGAAGAACTTGGAAGCTGTTTGCTTCTGCCTGCTAAAATTTATTGTGTCTCTTACACTGCAGCTATGGGGATGTTCTCTACTAACTGCTGAAGCTTCCTGCACAAGCAGACCGGGTTGTTCAAATGCTGGCAGGCGAGATCCAGGGCAATGCCTGCAGAGTCACATAATAGCAGTACCTCAGGCTTGATCTCCACTGCCACTGAAATGGGGCTGTCACTTCTGTCATTCAGCTTAAATGGGAAACTCACTGTAAGGGCTGAGCATGCTGAGCATCCTTTGCAACATGCTGATAATCTTTTTCCAGGCATTGGACTGCCCACAGGGTTGCAGACTTATGGGCATGAATGGTCTCAATTAAAATTTCTCCTGCCTGCCCAAACCTGAAAGAACCTAATTTGCTAACTTGTGATGGCAACTGGCACATAGACCTCTTCCCTGAGAAGGCAAAGAACAGACCAGTTTCTAGGTGATCAATAAGAGAGAAGTGACTCCTCAAGAGATGTTTTCCATGTTAGAGGCCAAGCTCAGCCCTTGGCGTCCCAGAAGGTTTGTGACAGAGAAACAGCAAAAAACCCTTTTGGTTTCTGTCTCTAGCCAGGGCTAGAGGGGACGATTAGCCAGACTAGCTTGGTCTCCACAGCTTTCAAAGGAAGATCTGAGAAATATTTGCCTCAAGGTGTTTCCCACCCCAGTCAATGAATGTTTTCTGGTTTTGCCATGTGACTGCTAATTAGAGCCACACAGTCCTTACAGTGGACATGTGCAAATCTCCAAAACCTTTCTGCTTAACAAAAGCTTCATGGCTGAAACACAGTCCTTTTAGCAGAAACTCCAGCCCTCTTGTTAGTCTAACTGGTGTCAGTGACACCTCTTCTGTGCTTATGCATGGCAAACAGCGTTCCCAGCTCTCCACTTTCCATCTTCATTGCCTAATGACCCAGATTCAATCTGAATAACCATTTCCTGCAAACAACATCAACCCTTCTCCTTATCAGTTTGAAAAGGGCTGTGCTGGTTGTTTTATTCAGCCAGCTTGCTCCAGGCAGGTGCTGTTCTCACACAGTATCACAAGGCACTGGCTGCCTGCAACTGCAGCATAAACAAACTTGTTGGTGCACCAGCCTTCCCCATGGGCAGCGGTACAGAAATCTGAAGTTTGAGTGTAAACAGGGATCAAACTCCTACAGGAAAATGGGCCTGGCCTTTGATTCCCAAGCTGTACTGGCCCTCAAGTACTTGAACCAACATGAATCTTAGGGTAGAGCAACCACTTCTTCACCAGCCTCACCTATGAATGTGCAAGTTTTCCTCCCTCTGAAACCATGTTTGTCAGGAGTCATCAAAGGTACAGTCATCAGGACTGCTGATGGCAAACAGGAAGCAGAAAAGCTCAAGCAGTCACAGGGTTTCCCACAGCCACATCTGTGAGTGCAGTTCTGGGATCTCACCCATTGCCTGGCACAGAGAGAGACACACCCATGTCACAATATTCTTCTATTACAGCCTTCTCTATAGGGGCAGCAAGTTCACAGTTGAACAAGTCCTGGGCTATGTGTTTGTAAATCTTAATGACAGAACAAATGACAAAATTTGCTAATCACGCTCCCAGTGTAGCTTTCAAAGGGGTTTTGTATACCAACAAATCAAGAACTTAACATGCTGGCTACTCCCACCTACTGTGGAAGCCAAGGCAATAATTAAAAGGTAGGAGAGTAGTGTGACTCCTTCCCATCGCAGATACTGAAGATTCCCCATCTTGGTGATCAAGAAGAGAGCACAACTTTTTTCCCAGCATTATTACAAGAACCAGTCTATTTCCCAGAAGAAATCAAGGCTTACACAAGGACACTTTAGTTAAAAAAAGGGTTAAGCTTCCCAAACCAGGCAAATAATATGGAAATAGTTACACAACCTTCATAGGCTCCTCTAATTCCTTTTTGGGACTAAACAGACATGTATTTATAATACACCCTAATTTAAAAAAAGCAAAACAACAAGCCCACAAAGAAAAGCCCCAGCCCCCACCCCCAAACCTATGAATAAGAAACACATTTTCAGAAGCAAATCTCATCCCATTTTATCTCCTTGTACAAAAGTATACCAGCCTCAATTTGTTTTAGTCCTGTCCCCAATCTCCTTCCCCTCACCCACGCCTTCTTTTCAAACCAAATGAGCCTGTCCCTGTGTCTATCCTCTGGAACAGGATTAAAGTTTCACACTGAGCCTGTTGCTGGGTTCAGAGCAGCAGATGAGCTGTTTTAAAGCTGTTCATTCAGCTCTGGGCAAGGCAAATTCGCCATGGAGTTTTCTTCAACCCATCATCTCCTTTAGCTTACAGGAGATCGAGAAAACCTTTCCTCAGCACTCAGTAGAGCTCTCAGCAACTAACCTTTCTACAATACTTAATAAAGCATCGTTTTCAAAGCATATGCTATGTTGACATCACATTTCTTGAATTCTTTAGATCCTGTTTGAGGGTGGGAAAGGAACATGTGTGTGTGTGTGTATATATATATATATATATAAATATATATACTCATCCACCAACTCAGATACAGGTGTTACAAAGAGTAACGGTAAATCAGAATTCTATCCCTTGCCAAATATATTAACAGGTACAGAGCTTCTTTAAAAAGAATTTTAAAAGTTTTCCTATTGCTTTTTGCTAAGATTACTTGCTCTTCAAATTTTCAGCTTCTATTGAAAGGCTAGCATAAATTCTCTGCCAACACAACATAGCAATAAGCAATAAAAGATTCACTTCAGTGTTAAGTATCAGGTTCATTTAATTAATTTAATAACATTTTCTGCTGGAAGCTATCTTACAACCACCAGATCCAGAAGATTGTTTCAAAACAGAATCCCTGTGGCCTGCATTTTTGTAATCCACTTGTAGTCCATATCCAGCAGCTTTACTCTTCAAGTCTTTTTTGATGGCACTTGCCTTTAAGCAGATACTCTCTATGATGAAGGCCAGCCACATGCATGAGTCATGCCACTGCAGTGGATAATGAAAGCCTTGTCCCAATTACTTTGTAAGAAAAAAAAAGACATTTGGAAAATAGGTGTAAGCAAGGTAGGATCAAAAAGGTATGACATGATTCAGGACCATCTCTGTCAGTGATTTGATCAAAATCAGTGGATGTGAAAAGGGCATGATGGGACAGCCTCCAGATGCCTTTTAGAAAGACCAGCACACTCCATTTTTTCTCTGTAGTCTCACGTGTTGACAACCCAAGAATAGTGAATTCCTTAAATGCTGGATACCAATCAATGTGGAGTGTTTTGTATGAGCTGAGCAACAGATCCAGCACTTTGCATTCAGGCATTAATTGATGTCATTGCTTCTCTGCAACCTAAAAGAGCTCCTCCTTCCTCAAAGCTGTGTGTTCAGCACTTTGCATTTTTGACTGACTCAAAAAAGGTCAATTAGATAGAAATGGTCCAACCTTGCATGTTCCTGCTTCAAATTACTTAACATAACTTTCATAAGTCCTGCAAGAGCCATTTTAAGCTTGAGCTTCTGAGGTTTCCTGCTTTGAAGATCACTTTAACAACCCTGAAGTGCGTTCTTTATTATGCAGCATCCCTCCTTCTGTGGAGAGCTGAATGAAAGACCACGGCACTGCTTTCTCAGGAAATGACCAGGTTTGCTCTACCCCATCCCCTCCAGTGCCCAGCCTCTGCAAACAGCCAGTAGTGCCTGCCCTGCCCACATTTCTCCTCTGCTGCCACTGCCTGCTCACCCAGGGCTCTGAGGACCAGGGAGCCCAACCAGCTCTGTGTCTCTGCTGCCTTGGGTGCCACTGGTGGGAACATGCACCTTCCCAAGGGCAGTGGTGGAGAGCCAGGGTCTTCTTGGTGCCCTCCCAGAGCTGACCTTTAGGTTTGTATGACCTGCTCTGCTCTGGCAGCTGAGATGCCATCTTGGGGCTTTGCAACTGCTGCAGGTCACCAATTCCTGGCTGCCATCCCCAATCCAGCACACATGTGTTGAGAAAGGCACCACTTGCTCCAACAGCCAGAAGTCCCCCAAGGGCTCTCTCCCCACCACTGCTTTCCCCACACAGGCTGACCCTTTGACAGATCAGTGTGAGCAGCACTGAACCAGCCCTTGGCTCACAGGACTCTCCCAGAGGCAGATGCCACACTGGAACCTGGCCCTGCTGGCCCCCCTGCCTGAGCAAGGAGGACACCAAGCCATGCCTTCAACACCTTAAGACAAGTCCAAATATGCAAAGATGGATTTTGAAGGCCACCGAGCTCTATTTCCACCCTAATCTGAGTTTTCAGCAAGACTGATGAGCTTCATGCTGCTCTGCAGGGGTCATGTTTGACAGAGGAGCCCAACTCCCCTGCTAACTGTGGTTCTTTGATTTGCTTATATAGCAATCAGTTTAAACCTGTGCTTTTTACTTACCTCAAGCAGAGTCTCAGAAATGCAAGACACAAAAAATGCGAGCAGAAGTTAAACAGTTCAGTGTTGTTTAACATGCATGAGTTAAATAAAGAGGCAGCTGCCTTACTGTGCAGGAGGATTCTAATGCAGTATCTGCAGGCCCAGAATTCCCCCAGAAATGCTTGTTGCAGCCAAAAAGGCTTCCTGCAGCCATGCCAAGATGCCCTCTGATCAAAGTGCTATTGCAACCCTGGCTGCTGGTTTGGACTCTGCCTTTCCACTGAGACCACCAGCAAGAAAGCAAATGGGTGTTCTGCACATTGCTAGGAACGGCACAGGCAAGACAGAGGAAGAAAAAAAACCAGACTGCAGCCTACCCTTGAAAGTTATGCAAGAAGAGAGGTACAAGATGAGCTTTTCCCACAGCAAGGGTTCCAGCTACGATTGCAAAACCTCGGCAGTCACGCAGGGACTCTTCCATGAGGTCTCCCAGGGTCACTGTTCTCTTCAAAGTCAGCAGAGAGGTGGCACAGCAAGGATCCTACTGCATTGGCACAACTGGCTGGCAGAGAGAATTGTCTGGAGAAAGCCAGAATGCTGCAGCATCTGCCATCACTCCCAGCACTGTGAATTTACAGACTGGAATGCCTTGAGGACCCATGGCTGGCTGTGTCATGGCTCACTGGGTGTATGGGCCCAACTTCCCAGGAGGCTCATGCTGGTTTCTGGACTAGTGCTCAATTCAAGCATTTATTTTTTCATGCTTGTCCCTCTCTTCCCCCTTTCTTCCCAAACTTGAGTTTTACCACCTGGCTAAAAAATGGCTCACACCAAACTCAAACCAGAGTAGGACCAAACATACACAGACAGCAGGCCCATGTGAGGAGACCTTTTGTGATAGACTGAGATCAGCTTAGGTACAATATTGACCAGAGTACTTACCTTTTAAGCTTCTCTTTGCAGAATTTTTTTTTTTCTGAAAACCAACTAATCTCTTTTTAAAATTCTCCAGTCGTAGAAACTGACTGCAAACATTTGTAAAATTTACCTTCTTTGTAAACCTATAGTGTTTTATTTGAAATTAAAATGTAGCCATATTTTCAAGCCCATCTGGTTGAATTTGTTAGATTGAAGCTTCTGGTAACTGTAGGCTTAGTTAACCATGTGTCCAAGAACCATGTGTCTTGCCTAGACTAGTTACCCAGTTTCTATCTACAGAGAAATATGCACTTCCTAACATAGCAATCCATTCAAGAAGGATCATCTCTGTGAGAGCAACCCTCTTTCCATTGACCATGAAGGAAATTTGGTCAGCTTAGATTAAAGGACTACACTTTACATATCTAACAAGTGAGACGAGTCTCTTTCCACATTGAAGATTTGTTATCAAATGCTTTTTACCATGTAGACCTTTCTCACAATATAAACTCATCATTTAATATTACTTTCACATAGATTGCAGGCTCTAATATATCAAGGCTAATTTCTAACAACCATTAAGCAACCAGAAGTGAAATTACTTTAAGAACACTTGAGATTAATTTCCTTACACTCTTATGACATTCATTCAAGGTTCATGTTCTTTGTTTCCTCTTGCAATAATTTAAGAGACAAACCACTGCTGGGAACAGTACGTGTCCCTCCACCCCCTCCAGCTGACAAAAATTGGCAGAGTTCAAGAGAAATCTCAGCAAATGGGAGAGAAAAAAATCACAAAGAGCAATCACTACAGATATTGAGATTTATTGCTGATTTTCCCTTTCTGAAAGGCTGTCAAACTGCCACAGTTCCAGAAGGGGATTATCTCCACAAGCCCTTTGGCCTCAGTCCCTGTGCCAGTTCAGACAACATGACTAGAGACCTGTGTGTGGCAGCTTGCTGCTTACAGAACAGTTGGAGGCAAAATCCATCCTTCCAGATCCTGAATTTATACATTGTTTGGTATGACCTGTCTGCTTCAAACAAAAAAAAAAAGCCACTGGGGCATCCAGTGGGGAATGCTGCTTTTCCTGAGTTTAGCTCCCTGTGCAAGAAGCTGCTACTGAGTGGTGCTCACACAGAGCCGTCAGCATGATACAGTGCAGTTTTTTCTTTACCACATCAATCTGATATAGTTGGTCTTGTGCTTTGAGGCAAAGGCTCCTTACCATCTCTGCCAGCTATGCTGCTTCCTTTCCAGCACTATTAATAGCATAGGTTCTTTTCTTAATTTAAAAAAAACAACAATAGATCCCTTTCCTCATGTTTGGTTGCACTTCTTCATTCCTGCTGCCACTTTTTTCATAATAGTGTCTCTAGGCTGCAAGTCAGCTCTGTTCCAACTGGAGAGATCTGGTTCCTCTTTATGTGCCTGTCCTTTCAGTGTAAACAAGCAATGCTTCTCCAACTCCACCGACCACAAGGCTGTAAACAAAGTATATCACAAATTTAGCATCATGCAAGTCCTTCTACTTGATACAAAAAGGTATTATTTTATCTAAACACATTCCAACCTAGAGACGGTAACCCAGGTGATTTTTTCATTTGTCTTGCTAAGAAAATGCTGAAACCCAAAATATCTTATTTAAATGATCTCATCAGAAATTACCTTTCCTGTGTTTTCGGGCTGGTGCTATTCAGTAAAAATGCACAGACAGGAATCTAAATGGAGAAGGTTGCCCCTAGTTACAACAATAGCTGCACACCCCTACACTAGCAAGAATAGAAACAGGAGGCAAGAGAGTTTGAACCTTATTAGCCTATTGATTCCCTCTTGCAATTTCTGTTTGTATTCTGTCATGAAAACTTGCCGCTTGACAACATCAGGAAGAGATGTAAAGCCTAGGTTTTGTGGACAAGGTGAAATCTGGGAAAACCTTTTTGTGCTGGGGTGATCCCGTTGGCACAGTGAGGCCAGTAGAAATTCCTGTGTTTGTCTCTCTTGGTGAGGTTAAAGGAGCTGCCCCAGCCAAAAAGGCACCTGTGCCCAAGCACTCCTTTCCTGTGCTGCTCACAGCACAGCCGTGGCATTAAGGCTGCTCCCCAAGAGTCAGCCCAGGAGCAGGGCTCCAAGTCAGGATGAATGGTTTTACAAAAGCCTTCCCTTAAATATGCTATCAACCCACTCAATGCATGCAATAGTTAATAATCCCCAAGTCTCCTCTGTTATCTCTCACTGCTGACAAGAATATGGTAAGATGCCGACTCTTCTCTCCTTTTAGAACAGTGCAAAGCTAAGTGTACTGACCTTTCATCTTAGCCCCATGGCTTAATTAGCTTATGAAACAGAAAAGCTCCTTACTGAACTTTATAAACAAAACAAACTTCTGTTAAGTTCATTTCTAAGAGTACTTTTTTTCCTTTGGAAAAAAAAAGCATGTAAAGCTGAAGGCTCTTTGGTCTAATAGCATTACATTCATTTAAATCTTAGCTTTGGTGAGCTGTTTTAAAAACCACACAATTGCCCTTGTTCCTGAGAGGAAAAAAATATTGTATAATAACTGCACAATATCTTACAATTCCACAGTAAACAGCCCTGGAAAGTAGGTGCTACAGACAGTCTGTGAAGGTCCACTGGGAAGACAGAATAGCTTTGGTGCGCAATTACCAACAAGGAGCAAAAGGCTGCAAGGGCTGCAAGCTTTTCAAAAAGGGTCTAAACCACTGAGTCTAGCCACTTGCAGTTGGTAACAACATCTGAGTGCTTTTTTTCTGGAGAGGGTTAACCCCCATGTCTTATTTCAGCTCCAGTTATAAACACACCCTATGCATTAACTCCTTTGGAATCTATGGTTAGATAATTACCCTTTATCCTAAAGGAAAAAAATTCCAAAACACTACATAAAAAAAGACCTTAGAAATATTTTTCCTGTTTCAGTAGTTGTGTTGTTTTCTAAATTTTTAACAGAGATTAAAAAATAAATCTGTCTCTGACATACCATTTCAAAAATGAGACTGGCAATTATGTACAAAAGATAATAAACTGCCCAGCCTTGTTCTGTAAAAAGATGCCTGTACCAGAGCTGTTCTTTAATATCATATGTCTTACATCAGAGAAGAAGAATCCCTTTCTGAAAGACTTGAAATCTTGGGATCCACATGCCCATGCAGTCCAAATTACTAGGCAAATGGAAACCATTGTTATATCTTCAAGATGAAGCAGAGCAAAAATCACAGCTAAATGCCAGCCATTGATTTTACCTTCATTTTCCCTTGTGGCAAACCCTCCAGCTTCTGTTTATAGTGGGGTGACAGATAACTGCACTTGCCCATAGCTCAAAAATTAACATATGATATTGTCCACGACCACACTGGAGCAGCACTAAAATCCTCAGTGATCAATGTTCTCATGAGTACTCTGCAGCTGCTATCATCCAACAAACTATTTCCAGAGCTTTGCTGCTAAGTCAAGGCACTGCCAATGCACAAACACTAACAGAATTGAGATTTTAAAAATAAATAAATAAAAGAAATAGGTTTTTTTAAATTATGACAATCAAAATGTAACAGTGGCCCAAGGGCTAAAGCAAATTTTCTTGTAAACATACAGATGTGTTCATCATTTATAGAAGTTTCAGTCCATATAGGGCAGGTGGCATGTGTGCAACTACATGCATCTACTAATGCTCACATTAGCCAAGGTGCACATTAATAAAGGTACACATGAATTTTTAGTGCAGATGTCAGTGAATACAGATGTATAACCAAAGCCTGCCTCTAGCACACACATGACAGACCTGCTCAAACACATGCAAAACATAGTGAATGGCCTAGACTAGGAGTGTTTTGTAGTTGCTTTGACATTGGTTAAGTCTCTGACATGCACAGGCAGCATGTACTTCCTAGAGCTAAAAAAAAAGCACAACTTACTTTAGCATTTGAGACTACATGTGCCTAAAATACAGATAGGAATCCATATCAACACATAAGTAAATGGGGCCAGTCTGAACTGGAGATTCTCCTTTCTATAAGGCTCTTATCACACCTGAAGAAAGGATATGCTAATTCCATTCAGTGCAGAGTTGAATCTTTAGGATGGCAATAAAACTGAATGAATCATGAATCAAGTAGAAAGAAAGAAGCTTAGAGCTTTTCAAAAGTAAGTAGATTTGTATTTCTATTAACAAATCTGTCCTCAGAGACACAAGCCTAACCCCATATTGAGAAGTTATTTGCACAGCAGAAGCATTTAGGAGCACCAGCCATGCTCCTTTGACTGTGTGCTACACAAACACAGATCAAAAACACTGCCTTGGACCGAAGAAGCTTGCACCCCAATTCTTTATATTACTACCTAAAAAATTCAGGTTAGGTGATTTGTACTGTGTGGCCAGACATTAAAAAATCCAGATATAGCTCTGGAAAAAGTTTATCATCATCATTTTTCTCCAGTTTAATTTTATGCATTCACAGTGTGCAGTGTGTTAGAGAAACTTGAATTCACTCTCTTGGTTAAAAAGATACTGTCAGCAAACCTTGACTCCTGTGTTTTACTTCCAGTTCTCCCACTAAATCGCAGCATGACTTTGAATGGGTCATTTATTTGCCTATTGGATCCATTTGCCTCACTGTAAGATGTGCTGAGTGAATTGTGGTGAGGCTTAATGTCTAAAATGTCCATGTTCTCCCACAGAGGTAGAAAAAACACTTTTCTATTACTGTACTGCATCCATCATTGCACACCTGGTTCTCCTTACATGCAAAATAACACTGACAGCAATAGAACTTGACATTTAAAAATATTTCCACATGAAGCACTGTGTGAAAATTCATCTTTACTGTTAAACAAAAAGCTCATGTAGACACTTACCAAGAAATTGTTAGTACATTGGCAGTCATGACAAAGAAGAATGGCGATAAGCTAGCAGTGATAACCTGTTAAATTGAAAAGAAAGAAAAAACATTTTGTGAACTTGTGATATCACAAATGAAAACTAAAATACTTTTGCTGAAATCCAATTTCCATGTGTGCAGTCACATCTTCTTCTTTCAGTTGAAGATAGTACGATAGTCACACATGACAATTCGATTTTGACCCCAACAGAATCCAGGACAGAGGCAGGGCAGGGAACCAGAGCAGGGGATCCCTTGTCACATATCCCAGCTGGCCTGGCCTAGGAGCTTGCTGGCTTTTACTTGTTGACAGCAGATTGGGGAGAGCAGTCGAATCCCAAGTTTGGAAAGCCTTATATTTCTGAGAATGAGAGTTTGAAATGTGTTTATAGGTGTATAAAAACAAAACAAAAATTAACAGGGTACAGGGTTAAGAAAAACAACACAACTTCAGTAGGTTTATGTTACAAGTCTCTCATTACCCCCAGGTGTTCTGGGCAGAGAAACTAGAGACAAATGACTTTGCTTTCCAAGTCCTGATCCCAGAAACAGCTAAATCCTGACGTACAATGCTTTGTAACAGATCCCTGCCTCAGCAGCTACGGAGCCACCACATCTGCAGCCTGCGTGCAGTTTTGGATGTTTTGCTGCCAGATGGATAATGTAAAATGGAAAGAGTTCAAAGAACAGTGACAGAGTCATTAGATGGGGGGATTGATTTTCAGTCAACAGTTAGGATAAGCAATGCCTGTGGGAAAGGAAGACTTGGTAGTGGTTTACAAAAACTTGAGAAACACAAGCGCTGAGGAATGAAAGGAACTATTTAGGTTAATAAAAAATTGCCCAAGGAAAAAAATGAAACATTTAAACAATTATCAGTTAAGATTTCCTAATCATTGTTTGCCTAGTTGACTCCCAGGGGAGACAGCAGAAACTTCATTCTGTAATCTATTACTTGTTAAAGCATTACTATATGTGCAGTAGGGAACCAAATGCCATTTTAGAGTAGATTCTGTGCACCAGAGCTTGGACTAACAGTCTGTTAGTCAATACCTGCTACAATTATTATGGCCACATTTTAAAAGGCAGGCTCTGAATCTGCCTGGAGTGTAATCATCTCCCAGGCAGGAGTGGCAGGTGAAGAAGAGAATGTTCTGTGTCCTCTTTCTGGAGTCCCGTTCTATGAGTTAGGTGAAGAGGGGACAACAATCTAAATGCAGCAGTGAGACCATGCAGTGCCACAGGAGCAAAGGTGTTCAGTAGGGACTGCACAAGGCGTGCCTCCTCTGGCCTCTTTGGGGATGTTTTCTACTTAAGGGACATCCAGGTGTGCAGGTGGCATTTTGCTTCCTAGATATTACCATAACTCACACCTTGATTGTTCTCCATGTGTCTGTAGCCCAGGCCCCTGTCAGAAGAAATTAGGCAGGAGATGGTCTTGATCCAGACAGGATAACACATGACTGCAGGCCCACTCCATCCCTGCTCAGCAATCAAATTGCTGGTACCAATACAACCACAGACACACCTCCTGATACAAACTTCACCTGAGTTCAGTGTTTTCACACTTCCAGCCACAGAAGTGTACAGAACAGGCAACACTGTATAGCTCCAAGCCAACAGAAAAAGTGAGCTCCTACTACTAGGGAAAATCAAAGATATGTATCTTCACCTATATCCTTGTAACTATACATGTAAGCAAACATACAGCGTAACATGCATTCTCAGAAGAGACTGACAGAGGACAAGGACAAGTCACAAAAGAGTTATGCTTCAAAACTCAAGATCATATTGCAACTGTGCACATTCAGTGGCCTGTCTCATAGTTATTTGTAGCCAGAGAGAGCTGATATCTACTCCAAACAGTAGAAGTTAACTATTCAGGAGTTGAATCTTCATGCACATGCAAGGCTGAATATACATTAGTTCAAAACCAGTGCTCTAAAATAAGTTTGCATCTTGTTCTAGTGGGCTGGGTTCTCCCCTCACAAAGAGTGCAGCAGATGCACTGACCTACAAGGAACCATTTCTCATTTACTCTGGTGTGAATGCTTCTGGAATTAACTGTACTGAGCTTATTTTAGGTTAATGCTAACTTATTACATAAAAATATACAATACCAATTACCGACCATGTAAACAGAAATTAACAAAGGATGGCAGCTGTGGCATGCACAGAGCATTCTTTTCCTAAAGCTCATCTCCTCAAAGAAACTGAAGTGCTGTGTTTGAGAAGTGGCACAAGCTAAAGTTGTGTCACCCACTCCCTTGTTGAGCCCTGTTTATTAGAAACTTGAGAAGAGGCCAAGGGCAGAGAAACAAGCATTCAAGAAACCTCCAAAAACAGGCCCTATCAGAAACAATACACCATTCTACTGTGATCATCTCAAACCTCTGCAAAAATGCAGGCTGTAGCCTTTTGGACTACTGTAGCTGAACACTGTTGTATTTTTGAGAAATTATGTAAGAGTGTCTCAGTGCCAAAGACAAACAAAATGTGGGTTGGAAGAGCGCATGAAGTAAGTGTGTGTAAGGAAAGAAAAAACAAATCACAAACAAACCAAAAGGAAAAGGCGTTGCTAAAATGTCTACATTTGATGATTTATCTAAAAGAAGAATATGTTTAAAAATGAAAAACAAGTTTTCAGAGAAGCTAATAATGTCATTTGTTCCAGGGAAGAATCTAAATACTAGAGACACAGTAGAGAAGGTAATTTTCCTTTAAGTACATTTCAGTATTATCTGAAGTGTTTTAAGTGCACATTTAGTTTGAAAAAAACCACCCACCTACACTGATGTTCTGAATGGCCTTAAAATAAAAAAAAAAAAGGAAAACCAACAAAATAAATTCACAACAAGCCAAGTGCAGTAATCTTTCTTTCTTCACTTTAAAGGTCATAGTTGTCCTCCTAGGCATTTAGATGCTTTAGTAAAAGGAATGAGTTTTCAAGACAAAAGAAAACAAGTTAAAGGGCAAACTAAAGTTAATGATTTCCAAATATATTTTGATGCAGAATCTGTGAAACTAAGAGGTGGAAAGGAAAATTTTAATTAGCTATAATATGCCTATTTTGAACAAAGCTCCCCAAGATTTTGACATACAGTCACTAATTCTATCAAATGGTACAAGCTGGATGGTTGAACGCCAACTATTTTGGAAACAGGAATAGCTCCATGGACTCTGCCTGCTTTTAAAGGAACTATGACCAGTCAGTATTACGAAAGCTACTTTAAAAACATTCATACCCGGAAATTTTCTTACAAAATTCTGACACAGCTTTTGATGATTAGGAAAAAAATTCAAGCGTAGCATAACTTAACAAAACATTTCCATGTGAGCTGAAATTTTTCCTAAGAAATCATTTCAAATCCTTCCTTGCATGAAAAATCAAATCAAAACAAAACAACCTCCCCTCAAGATTGTTACTTAAAATAAATCAGTCTAAGTTTATTCTGCCATTCCATTGTACTGCAAAAATAAGACTAATTTTAAAGGAACAATTTATTAACACCTATTTGTCTTGGTTCCAGCTGTTTCTGTAGTTCAAGTCACTGAGTTATTCACAAGTCATTTTAAATTTAACCAAAAACCTTGGCATTTCAAATTGTGCTTTGTACCTCAACCTAAACCAGTTCTAGTTCTTTACAATATGTATCAGCATTGCAGGAAAACGAGTATCCTTGATACTTCTATGGGATTAGGTCTGAGGAGAGTGGGTTGGTCCCCTCCACACAAGAGATTGGGCCTGAATAGTCAGGGAACAAAACACATAAATGCTCCAATATTCTTCACATAAATAGTCTAGTACAAGGGATCTGATCCTGTTTCTCCTGGAACAGAAACCAGGAGAAAAAACAGAGCAACTCAGCCAGTTAGAGGCTTCAAACTTTTTGGTTTCAGGAGATCCCCAAATTCAGGTCTCCATTTAAAAGGTGAAAACTTCAGGCATCCCCATTATTCTGGGAAACCGAGAAGGACTCAGTTGCCATAAAACATTCCACACATTGTTTACATTTCCATTTACATTTAACAAGCTCCTATCAAGGACAACACAGTACTCAACCTCAGGATCCAAAGAAATTAATTCAATTCCAGAGTTCTAGAGTTTCCTCCTTACCAGGCTGAATTAGTGGCAACTAGAAAAACAATGGTATAATTGAAATGCTGGATAACAGACTCATAAAGCAGAAATATCCCAATGTGTGGAAGAACTTGTTGCACAGTAGGGATAAATTCAGTACATAAAATCACTTCTGCACAGGAAAATAGTAGGCATAGGAATAAATATGCTCCAATGCGCCCACGTTTTCTAAATCTGCTTTAGTGATTCCTGAGTGGAGGGAGGCACAATTGACACTAGCTTTAAAGGGTTCCCAAGGAACTTTGACAGACAGACCACTGCACAACTCATTATGTGAATGATTTCCTCCTTTCACCCTATCACTTTGGTCAGATAAGAAAAAATTTCCAAAGAGAAAGTAAAATTTTTCTCATAAATATTGTTTTAAGAAAATATGAGGGGAAATGGAATTTATTTTGGAATAAGAGATTAATTCAGTTAACAGATAACAAAATAAAAAATAAAGACTGGAGAATTTCTAGCTGTAGACATTAAGAACAGGTAAGATAATTACTGAGCCAGCTTCCCTCTTAGATGTTTTTCTTGAACATATAACATCAGAAAACTCTGATAAGTCTGATATGCGGCTTGAACACAGGAGGTGGCACCCTAAGGGTTCCTGGTCCTTGGTAATGCACAAACTTGGATCCTGGGAGATAAAGGAATGTGGAACTCTGCATTCTTTGCTGCCTTGAGTTCTCCCAGACCAGCTGTGGTTATACCACAGACTCTGGAGTGTCCAATTTCGATTGATTCAAACCAGACATCCCTGCCAGATAAAAGTGTCATTCTTGACCAAGCTATCATGGATCCCCTTCAGCCCTGACTTTACAATCACTTCAGAGAAAGATTTTCAGGCTGCAGAAGCTTGGTGCAGGTTTTGAATATTTAGCATTTCTGAGTTGTTCAGGAAGATATTGTT